ATAGACATCATCAACTCAATGGACATTGAGTTTTAGTAAACTCCAGGAGTTGGAGATGGACAGGGAGGCCTAGCATGCTGCAGTCCATGGGGTCACAAAGAATCGGACGTGACTGAGCAATTGAACTGAACTAATAAACTGGTGAACATTAGTGTTTCCCTGCGTTCTAGCAAATAATCAAATCCAAGGAGGAGAATTTCATGGGAACCTCCAATTTGTAGCCAAGTCCAACAGGGGTTGTGGATAACTCGGGGATCTACTGTTTGCAATTGGCATCTGAAGGAGGGACGGCACTCTCATGGGACCACTTAACCTGTGGGACCTGATGCTATTTCCAGGTAGATAATGTCAGAACTGGGTTAAATTATAGGACATCCAGCTGATGTGACAAATTGCTTGGTGTTAGGATAAAAACTCACATATCTGGTGTCAGAAGCATTATGGGTATAATAGTAGTGTGAGAATAAAGGAGAAATACAGGAGGAGACTGGAGTTTTTCCAATCAGTTTCACATACAGCAAAGGCTCAAAGCCTTCCTCTTCCTGCCATACTCATCCTCAGAAACTTCATTCCATCCATTTTCACCCCTTACTCTACAAGTCCAGTGACTCTTTCCTGGCCCTAAACATGCTAATGTCTTCCCCATATTTAAGAAAAACAAAACACACACACACTCCTTTGTCAACCTCATGTTCTCTCTTAGCCATGTCTGTTTCTCCCCCATACCACTAAGTTTTAGGAAAGTACATCTACACTTTGTCTCCACCTCCACATCTTTCATTTACCCCTTAACTATTTAACTTGTGTGGACCTTGCCAAGATGAATAACAATATCCTGACTGCTAAAACCAATAAACAAATGTTTTATTCTAGTGGACACCATCCTATTCTAAGTTTACTGATATCTCTTTTCAGCATGACACTGACCTCCATGACATCCTTCTTGAAAAGCTCTACTCCCTTCACCTCCCAGGCATCATTTTCCTGGTTTCCCACCTACATTCATATTTACCAGGCTAGTCTTTGCTTCTAGGCTAGTCAGGTTAGTCTTTGGAAGAGGACTTCACTTGTCCATCCCCTATTACCTCTAAGCCAGAAATTATGACATTTATTTTATTTACAGCAATATCTATTACATTCTTAGAAAGAGACCAACCCAGAAAAGAAATTCACTATGCTAAAGAAATCCTTCCAGGCTTTCTTAAAATGGAAGCCTATCACATAACTTTTAAAAAGTTACACGAGGTAAGAAGAAAATATTTTAAGATGATGCTACCCTTCAGTTTGAGACTTACTATTTACTCTGGTACAAATATCATACACTTATGCCCATAGCCTCTCCAACTCCTTCAACTGCAAAAAAATACATGTGCTCCCCACATATCTACCCACTGGGATACAAATGCACACCCAGATATGCAAACTCATGATGAAAACTCAACATAGTCAATTCTGTAGGTAGGTAGACAAGTGGAAAGGTACAAGACTAGATGAGCTGGAGAATGGACAAATCTAAACTACAAAGGATAAACTGGGGAAAAGTTACAGGTGAACAAGAAACAATCAATTAATGCTAAAATAATGAAATATGTTAGATGGTACAAAGAAAACTTTGTCACTAGTTAGTGTTACAACCTTAGATTAACTTTTGGGGCTTCATCTACAGAGGCTAGGCTAAATGATTCTCTAAAAATTCATAACAATTCCCAATCCTATGATTCTACAGAAAATTCAGCTTTAAAACACATTTATTGCCGCTTTTGACTTACTGTTTTCATTCTTTATTATTATTTAAATCACAATATCAGTAATCATGCTCCAAAAACAATGTTTGATGCTGGCGCCTTGGTCTTTGGCAGTCCTTATGATAAGTGCTATAATGGAGGGGTTAGAAAAAGTACTTAAAGAAGTATGGTGATGGAATATTTGACTCTGCCTAAGGGAGCTATGGAAGGCTTTACAGAGGAGGGGACAATTCAGCTGGGTCTTACAGACAAGACAAGTTTCAGCTGAAGTGTCTCTGGAAAGTGTTAGAATTCCAATTACAACCTAATAGTAAACAGATATGAATAACTGCTACGAGTCTATTTATTTTCTTTTTAAGCATGTTCCACCAATAACACTGTTAATGGAAGTAGTTTGTCCTCTACTGATAGAAGACAATACAACAAAGAGAGAAAAGGAGACTAAACTGTAACTTAATGGTGCAGTGAAATTCTGACACATAGGTGACTTCTTAAAATGACACCCACTGTGATGTCTGCAGATCCTTTCAACATCATTTTAATTCAGAAATGTGAAATTTAAGATATATGGCTTCCCTGGTGGTACAGTAGATAGGAATCCACCTGCCAATGCAGAGGACATGGGGTTGATCCCTAGTCTGAGAAGATTTCACACGCCATGGAGCAACTAAAGCCCATGTGCCCAACAGACCCCAAATGGCCAGAGCAATCTTGAGAAAGAAGAATGGAAATGGAGGAATCAACCTTTCTGACTTCAGGCTATGCTACAAAGCCACAGTCATCAAGACAGTACGGTACTGACACAAAGACAGAAATATAAACCAAATAGAAAGATTAGAGATAAATCCATGCATCTGTGGACACCTAATCTTTGATAAAGGATGCAAAAATATACAATGGAGAAAAGACAGTCTCTTCAACAAGTGCTGCTGGGAAAACTGGTCAACTACGTGTAAAAAAATAAAAGTAGAACACTTTCTGACACCGCACAGAAAAATAAACTTGAAATGGATTAAAGACCTAAATGTGGACCAGAGACTACAAAACTCTTAGAGGAAAACACAGAACACTCTCCAACATAAATCACAGCAAGATCCTCTGTGACCTACCTCCCAGAGTAATGAAAATAATAACAAAAATAAACAAATAGGACCTAAGTAAACATAAAAGCTTTTGCACAACAAAGAAAACTATAAGCAAGATGAAAAGACAGCCCTCATAATGGGAGAAAACAATAGCAAATGAAACAACTGACAAAGAATTAATCTCCAAAATATACAAGCAGCTCATGCAGCCCAATACCAGAAAAACAAACGACCCAATCAAAAAGTGGGCAAAAGACCTAAACAGACATTTCTCCAAAGAAGACACACAGACAGCTAATAAACATCACTCATGCTCAACATCACTCATTATTAGAGAAATGCAAATCAAAACCACAAAGAGGTATCATCTCACACCAGTTAGAACTATTGTTGCTGTTTTTCAGTCACTAACTCATGTCCAACTCATTGTGATCCTATTGACTCCAACACGATAGGCTCCTCTATCCTTCACTATTTCCCTGAATTTGCTCAAACTCATGTCCATTGAGTCAGTGATGCCATCCAACCATCTCATCCTGTCACCTCCTTCTTCTCTTGCCCTCAATCTTTTCCAGCATTAGAGTCCTTTCCAATGAGTCATCTCTTTGCATCAGGTGGCCAAAGTATTGGAGCTTCAGCATCAGCCCTTCCAATGAATATTCAGGGTTGATTTCCTTTAGGATTGACTGGCTTGATCTCCCTGCTGTCCAAGGAACTCTCAAGGGTCTTCTCCAGCACCACAGTTCAAAAACGCTAATTCTTTGGCACTCAGCATTCTTTTTGGTCCAGTTAATTCTATGTTCCAGCCACCATCAAAAAGTCTACAAACAATAAATGCTGGAGAGGGTGTAGAGAAAAGGGAACCCTCTTACACTGTTGGTGGGAATGCAAACTGGTACACCCACTATGGAAAACAGTGTGGAGATTCCTTAAAAGACTGAGAATAGAACTGCCATATGGCCCAGCAACCCCACTGCTGGGCATATACTCCAAAGGAAACCAGAAGTGAAAGAGACACATGTACCCCAGTGTTCACTGCACCACTATTTACAATAGCTAGGACATGGAAGCAACCTAGACGCCCATCAGCAGATGAATGGATAAGGAAGTTGTGGTACACAGACACAATGGAATATTACTCAGCTATAAAAAGGAACACATTTGAGTCAGTTCTAATGAAGTAGATGAACCTAGAGCCTATTATACAGAGTGAAGTAAGTCAGAAGGAGAAAGACAAATACTGTATATTAACACATATATATGGAATTTAGAAAGATGGTACCAACGATCCTACATGCAGGGCAGCAAAGGCGACAGACGTAAAGAACAGACTTTTGGCTTAGTGAGAGAAAGAGTGGGTGGGATGATTTGAGAGAATAGCATTAAAACATAAACAGTGCCACATATAAAACAGATAAGCAATGCAAGTTTGATGCATGAAACAGGGCACCCAAAGCTAGTGCCCTGGAACAGCCTAGAGGGATAGGGTGGGGAGGGAGGTGGAAGTGAAAGGTTGTTGCTAAATCACACAAAGACACCGGGGGTCTTGGCTTCCGGACTCTCTCATAAGCAGGGTTCAAAATTTGGGGGGGAAGGGGGTACACATGCGGCCAACACTACGGCCGACTCATGCAAAAATCATTAAAATACTGTAATTATCCTCCAATTAAAATAAATACATTAGTTTTTTTTTTTAAAAGCCCTTGTGCCACAACTGCTAAGCCCGCACTCGAGCGCCCACGAGCCGCGCCCACTGAAGCCCGTGTGCCTGCAGCGAGAGGGGCCACTGTGCACAGAGCAGAGAGCAGCCCCACTCACCACAGCCACAGAAAAGCCTGCGTGGAGCAAGGGAGACGCAGCACAGCCAGGGGCAAACAAGCGGTGGAAAAGAAACTGCATTAACAGAAGGAGATTAAGCCGTAATGTTCATCCAGATTAAACAATAAACAAACCACAAAGTAGCCAGGTGGGCCTACAAAAAAAATGCTTTCTGAAGTCTTAGCAATATGTTAAGATTTTGTGAATTGTATCATGAATATTAATAAGATGTATCCTAGATTCAAGTGAAACTCTACATGACATCGTTAAGACTGTGATTTGAAGTAAGTCATATTTCTAGCCAATAGCAAAAGTGAAAGAAGTTAATTTTAAACAAATTCACAGTACTCACAATTTTCACACTCAGGCTTGAAACTCCATGATCATGAAGTTCATCCTCAAATAGGAGAACTTCTTCGAAAAACTTAATCTGTTCTCTGGCTTTCAATTTCTCTGTGTCTATATGATCTGTTGTAGGTACAACCTGAAAGAAAAAATTTAAGAACAGGCACACACAAAAAATTTAAACAAGTTTTCCTACCAATATTTTCTGCATAGCCAGAGCATGGTTCTAAATTTCGATGTTATAAGTAGACACAAAAAACGAGATATATACCTTGCCCCTGAAAAACTTAAAATGCCCAATATTATAGCTTCACAACACATACAGTCAAACTTCATCATCTCATTCAAATCATGAAATAGAACACTGCAATAGAACAGTAAAATAGGACACTGAAATAGAACAGTAAAATCAACTGCTCTATTGTGACTATGAGAAAATTAACTATCTGAAAATTAGTCAATGTGATGAATAAACTACTACTATCATAGAAGTTCAAAGCAGTTTGGTGCTATAAAATTCTACTTATAAGACATTTATTTGGAACTTAAAAAATTCTTTCCTATAAGAATGATGTTACTTTCAAAAAAAAAAAAAGAATGATGTTATATATTGTAGATCTATCTCCAAGTCTACAAACAAAAGTGTTTTAAATATTGAGATAAATAAGAACGTTAGAGAAATTTTAAGGGGAACTCTTAGCATTCCAAAGAGCTTTAGAGGATACTGGCTATTTTTTTTAAAGTATTATTTTACAGCCACCAGACCCAAACATATATAACCCAACAAAAGCACCAACAATCTCAAGGTGGGTTATGTCAGTAACTCACTAAATCCAAGTATCTCCTAACAGTAACAAGAAAGTATGTTTTGTGATACCATTTAATACTACATTCATTTTTACTATAAAATGTCCAGCTTTTCAACTCTTTAACAAAGTTGTATCATGAATAAACAACAAAGCAATGCTTGTCAAACTATAAATATTTGGTATATGGTAGCTATTATTGTACTTTACTTAGAAGCTGTGAATAGGTCATTTTTTTTTCACTCATGGATAGAATTAAGAAATTTAGAGTAGTTTCAGAAAACTGGATAAGAATTAGAAAAATATGATAATGGATGTCTAAGTGATTACATAGACTTTGGGGAAATGGCAATGCAGAGGAGGAGAGGGTGCTATGAAAGAATCTGGAAGTGTGATCCCCAAGAGGTGAAAAAAATGTTCATAGTTCTTCCATGTTTACTTACAGATAATATTTTAGCTCTCTACAATTTTATTTCAACAGCCAGCAGACATGAGACCACACACAGAGGTGAAAGTAAAAGGAGCGGAAGGAAGGTGAAGGGTAGGGATAGGGATTTAGGGCAGCATATGACCAGTGCCTTGCATCACCTGCATGTTTGTGATCTATTTAAGACAAAGGCTGGTGCCTCTAGAACTGCCTAAGAGCATAAAACTTTAGTTAGTATTAAATAAATACAACTTTTAATTCCGTACTTTTTATTTAGTTTTAGTTCAAAGGAACACATTTGAAAGATCGTCCTTATAGATATATCTGATTTCTAAAAATTAACCATTATACCTCATTAGTAAATGGCCATTTCACTAATATTTCACATATGCCTTCAGTAAGTGATTGGTGAACATAAATCCATCTGTTTTGCCAAGTAGTTCTCATAAAATGTTTGAAAGAGAAAGACAAAAAATAATTAGATAACACATGGATTAGGGAAATTCATTATATTTAGCTTAGCTATATACTATCTTCTTCATTAATAAGGACAAATATATTTAAAACTTTATATTTCTCAGCCTTTTTTCTTCCTCAACTCTACTTATCTTCTCTCTGAACTCAAGCATCTGAAAGGTAAAACAGCTAAACTTAAGAGATACTGAACATTTCTAGCTTCTGGTATTGTCAAAATAAATAATCTAGACAAACTTTCTCGCTGAAAGTGAAAAATAAAAGGGAAAGTCAATCAGCCGTGTCGGACTCTTTGTGAGCCTATAAACTATACAGTCCATGGAATTCTTCAAGCCAGAAAACTGGAGTGGGTAGCCTTTCCCTTCTCCAGGGGATCTTCCCAACCCAAGGATCAAACCCAGGTCTCCCGCATTGCAGGAGGATTCTTCACCAGCTGAGCCACAAAGGAAGCCCAAGAATACTGGAGTAAGTAGCCTATCCCTTCCCCAGGGGATCTTCCTGACCCAGGAATCGAACTGGGGTCTCCTACATTGCAGGCGGATTCTTTACCAACAGAGCTATCAGGGAAGCCCAAGTAAGCTAAAGGCAATTTAAAAAGCTGGATGAAAAAATAAAAACCTCTTAAACGCATTATACAGCCAATGCAGTGAAAAAGGACTGGACTGAGATCTGGAAGAGGACTGGAGCCCAGAAAAGTGACACTGTTCAGTCTTCAACCAAGAGCAAAGGCCTTGGAGAATTCCTTGCCCTGCTCCCAATTTTGCAAAGACATCTCAAAGTGTTACAATGGATCCACAACTTCTTATGTTACAGGCCCAGTAAGCTAAAGGCAAAGGAGCAAAGGAAAGATATACCCATTTGAATGCAGAATTCTAAAGAATAGCAAGGAGAGATAAGAAAGCCTTCCTCAATGATCAATGCAATGAAACAGAGGAAAACAAGAGAATGGGAAAGAATAGAGATCTCTTCAAGAAAATTAGAGATAATAAGGGAACATTTCATGCAAAGATGGGCACAATAAAAGAAATGGCATGGACCCAACAAAAGCTGAAGATACTAAGGAGAGGTGGCAAGAATACACTGAAGAGAAGTGAAGTGAAGTGAAGTCACTCAGTTGTGGCCAACTCTTTGCGACCCTGTGGACTCTAGCCTACCAGGCTCCTCCATCTAAGGGATTTTTGGAGTGGGTTGCCATTTCCTTCTCCAGAATACACTGAAGACACAAAAAATACACACACACACACACAAAATACACAAAAAAGATCTTCACGACCCAGACAGCCAGGATGGTGTGATCACTCACCTAGAGCCAGACATCCTAGAATGCGAAGTCAAGTGGGCCTTAGGAAGCATCACTACAAACAAAGCTAGCAGAGGTAATGGAATTCCAGTTGAGCTATTTCAAATCCTAAAAGATGATGTTGTTAAGGTGCTGCACTCCATATGCCAGCAAATTGGGAAAACTCAGCAGTAGCCACAGGACTGGAAAAGGTCAATTTTCATTCCAATCCCAAAGAAAGGCAATCCCAAAGAATGTTCAAACTATAGCACAGTTGTACTCATCTCACACGTTAGCAAAGTAATGCTCAAAATTCTCCAAGCCAGGCTTCAACAGTACATGAATCATGAACTTCCAGATGTTCAAGCTGGATTTAGAAAAGGCAGAGGAACCAGAGATCAAATTGCCAATATCCACTGGATCGTAGAAAAAGCAAGAGAATTCCAGAAAAACATCTACTTCTGCTTTACTGACTATGCCAAAGCCTTTGACTATGTGGATCACAACAAACTGTGGAAAATTCTTAAAGCGAAGGGAATACCAAACCTTACCTTACCTGCCTCCTGAGAAATCTGTATGCAGGTCAAGAAGCAACAGTTAGAACTGGAGATGGAAAGCAGATTGGTTCCAAATCAGGAAAGGAGTACGTCAAGGCTGTATATTGTCACCCTGTTTATTTAACTTATATGCAGAGTACATCATGAGAAATGCCAGGCTGAATGAAGCACAAGCTGGAATCAAGACTGCCAGGAGAAATATCAATAACCTCAGATATGCAGATGACACCACCCTTATGGCAGAAAGTGAAGAACTAAAGAGTCTCTTGATGAAAGTAAAAGAGGAGAGTGAAAAAGTTGGCTTAAAGCTTAACATTCAGAAAACTAAGATCACAGCATCCAGTCCTATCACTTCATGGCAAGTGGATGGGGAAACAATGGAAACAGGAGAGACTTTATTTTTGGGGGCTCCAAAATCACTGCAGATGGTGACTGCAGCCATGAAGTTAAAAGATGCTTACTCCTTGAAAGAAAAGCTATGACCAACCTAGACATAACATTAAAAAGCAGAGATATCACTTTGCCAACAAAGGTCCATATACTCAAAGGTATGGCTTTTCCAGTAGTCATGTATGGCTGTGAGAGTTGGGCTATAAAGAAAGTTGAGTGCCGAAAAATTGATGCTTTTGAACTGTGGTGTTGGAGAAGGCTCTTGAGAGCCCCTTGGACTGCAAGGAGATCCAACCAGTCCATCCTAAAGGAGATCAGTCCTGAATATTCACTGGAAGGACTGATGCTGCAGCTGAAACTCCAATACTTTGGTCACTTGATGCGAAGAATTGACTCATTTGAAAAGACCCTGATGCTGGAAAAGACTGAAGTCAGGAGGAGAAGAGGATGACAGAGAACATGATAGTTGGATGGCATCACTGACTCTATGGACATGAGTTTGAGCAAGCTCTGGGAGTTGTGATATACAGGGAAGCCTGCTGTGTTGCAGTGCATGGGGTTGCAAAGAGTCAGACAGGACTGAGCAACTGAACTGAACTGAAACCTCAAGCTCTGATCCCATATAAGAGGTTAGCAAACTAGGACTTCCAGGCCAATGTGGTTTGCCACCTAGTTTTGTATGAATGCAAGCTAAGAATCATTTTCACATTTTTTCAAATGACTGTGGGGAAAATGTTTTTTTAATATTTCATGACATAAAAAACTATGACATTCAAATTACCATGTCCATAAAAAAAAAATTTTGAAACACAGCTGTGCCTATTCACTTGCATACTGTCTATGGCTGCTTCCAGCTACAACAGCACAGCTGAGCAACTGCGGCATAACTCTGTGGTCTTCAAAGCCTGTATATTCACTGTCTGACCCTTTACATAAACAGGCTGCAGACCCATGCCCTTGACTATGGATGCCTTAGTAGCTTATGAGAGATAAACAAAAATCTTCTGTGGAGGAAAATATCATCGTCCGAGGATTCAAAGAAAATAGGAGTCTAGACACCATAAGTCAGGACCAACAGAAATAAGACACTAAAAGACACTAGGGACTCTAAATGCTGAAAATATGAGGCCCAAGCTATAAACAACAATACACACTAGTTTTATTTCAAGGAAATAAAATTAAGGTTGAACATATCAAAAGATACTAGGAAATAAGTTTTTAAACAGAATTATGGTCAGGCAAATCCTGCTGGGGGTCTGGTGGGGTGATCACAATGTTCTATTTCTTTTACTCTGTGGTTACATTAAACTGTATTTTCATCTTTCATGAACTTTTCTAAGTTATTTCATGATTTTCAAAAGGCTTAAAAATGTACAAATATTCATGCTAAAAATATTCTTGATACCTTGCAAGAAAAGTAAGTCTTGGTTACATCTTTCAAGTGAACGTATCTCACTCTCTCACATCAGATGAAGGTTTATAATAAGGAAATTACTTGATATAAATACTTTTATATTTATCATATAAAGTTAGTTAATAGCAAATGTTAAGAACCCAATGTTAAATTTCCTTTTCAAAAATTACTGAAAATAATGTGTGTGTGTATGTACATCCCATTAGGAAATACCATGAAATGGTTATGTTTTACAGTGATTTCTTTCTTTAAAAAGAAAAAGAGATACAACTCCCAGACTATATAATTCACTGGTCTTTAGTATGTTGACAAGACTGTGTAGAAATCACTATTACCTAATTCCAGCACATATCGTCACCCCAAAAAGAAACTGTCATACCCACTAGCAGTGTCTCTCCATTCCCCACTTCCCGCAGTAGCTGGAAGCCACTACTCTAGTTTTTTTCTATAAATTTGTTTTGCAAATCCTTCTGGAATCATATACATGTAAGTTTGTGTCTGGCTTCTTTCACTTAGCATAACGTTTCCAAGGTATGTATTACTGTTTTGTTTCTTTTTCAAGACTAAATAATATTTTACTGTCTAGATATACCAGTTTTGCTTATCCACTGATGAACATCTGGGTAGTTTTCACATTTTAGCTATTATGAGTAATGCAGCTATGAATATTTGCATACAGGTTTTTATGTGGATATAGTTTTCTCTCTTGAGTGTATACCTAGGAGTGGAATTGCTGGGTTACATGATAACAGTGTTCAACTTTTTTTTTAATTGCTGGCAAGAAAAAAATGAGTAATAAGAAATCTACCATTTAAATCATTTGTAAGTGTACAGTTCAGTAGTGTTAATTATATTCACACTGTTGTCAGACAGATCTCTAAAACTTTTTCATCTTGCAAAACTAAAACAGTATCAGAATTGTTAACCTACACCTCTGTGGTAAACAACTACCAAGAAGCATACAGTATTCATATGTGTTCTTCTTGCCTTTTATCTTACAAACTCCACTCATTTCCAATGTTTGTGTCAGCACATTACCCCTACCCCCTCCACTTAATTTACTTTTACAAGCTCAAAATATTAAAGATTATATACAAATGGCCAACAGGCATATGAAAAGATGCTCAACATCACAAGTTATTAGGGAAATGCAAATCAAAACCTCTCACACACTGCTGGTGGGAATGTAAAATGGTATAGCTGCTATGGAAAACAGTACAGAGGTTCCTTAAAAAATTAAAAATAGAATTATTACCATATGATCTAGCAATTCCACTTCTGGGTATACACACAAACAAATGAAAGCAGAATTCTGAAGAGATATTTGCACACCTATGTTCATAGCAGCACTATTCACCATACCCAATAGGTAAAAGCAATCCAAATGCTCACTGACAAGTGAATGGAAGAACAAAATGTATATACATGCAATGGAATATTACCCAGCCCTAAAAAGGATGGGAAGTCTGACACATGCCACAACATGGATAAACCTTGAGGACATTATGCTAAGTGACAAAAGCCAGTCATAAAAAGGCAATGTATGGTTCCACTTACAAGAGGTATCTAAAGTAGTCAAATCCACAAAAACAGAAAGAAGAATGGCAGTTGCCAAGTGCTGAAGAAGGAAGAAATGGAGAAGTTGATGTTCAATAGGTACAGATTTTCAGTTTTTAAAGAGAAAGAAGTTCTGGAGATCGGTAGCACACTTTAACACTAATTAATATGCTTGAAAATAACTAAGATAGTAGTTTTATGTTATATATCTTTTTACCAAAAGGAAAAAAGAAAAAGAAAATTTAAGATACTGAATCATACTAAAATAACTGGGCAAATGTTCCAATGTGCTTTAAAAAAAAAAAAAGTTTAAATGCATGCACACTAAGCATGTTTTATTCCTAAAAGGCAATATCAATAGAAGAGGCAGCCTTGTACTTCTATTTTCCTGTATATCCAATTTATTTATTTAATAAGTGAAAGTTGCTCAGTCATGTCCAACTCCTTGCAACCCTGTGTCTATACAGTTCATGGATTTCTCCAGGCCAGAATACTAGAGTGGGTGGCCTTTCCCTTCTCCAAGGGATCTTCCCAGCCCAGGGATCAAACCCAGGTCTCTCGCATTGTAGGTGGATTCTTTAGCAGCTGAGCTACAAAGGAAGCCCAAGAATACTGGAATGGGTAGCCTATCCCTTCTCCAGCAGATCTTCCTGACCCAGGAATTGAACTGGGGTCTCCTGCATTGCAGACGGATTCTTTAGCAACTGAGCTATCAAGGAAGCCCATTTATTTTATAGAAAAGGAAAAAACAGCCAAATGTTGATAGGTTACTATGGGCCAGGGACATATTATGCATTTGACCTGTTTTCTCATAATATTCTCATACCATAATTTGAGAGAAGTGCCCATGGTAGCCCAGACAACAAATCACAAGGCTGGGTATGAATCCAGAGAGGTCAGTATTACTCCGTGACTGGCTCTCTCCTCTTACACCATGATACAACTCAGGGTAATAGGTTAAACAACCTGAAGAGTGAGAAAACATTAAATATACACACACACCAGAAGCCACCAGCAACTAAAAAGCAAGAATTTAAGGGCAAAGGAAAGGCTTCATTCTAATGGTTCATTCTCTGATACCCTTACTGTACATATAAAATACCTTCTCCTACACTGGCATACACTTCCTATACATACTAGGGCTTCTGAATAAGTGTTGTGAGGAACAGTTGAAGGATTAAATAATTAAAAATCTCAAATAATATTACAGGTCAAAATATATATATATACTATAGGTCAAAAAATCCTTAGGTATTAAAACAAGTTAAATGTAAAATATGTTCCTATGAAAGTGATCTTCCACATATAACAAATGTGCTTAACAACAATCTCTAGCATCAGTGTTACCTTACTAACAGATACATACTTAAAGATCTTGAACCCATTTCTTCATCTACAAAATGAGGATAATAATGCCTACTAACAAGATTATTTTGAGAGTTAAGCAACAAAGTCCTAACAATTTTACCTGGAAAATAGTCACAATTTTTTAAGGCAACAAAGGAACACATTCATCAACTCTATTTAGATCATAAAGCAAGAGGTAAATACTATTTAGACAATATATCTACTTTTATTTTTGGTATTTCAATAATATTAACTTGACATTTGAAATATGATACTATAATAATAGCAGCTGCTATTAAGATCTTATTGTGTTAACAGACACTGTGCTATAAACACTTAACACATATATTCTTTACTACATCACAACTGATATTATCCTTAGTTTACCAAAGGCTTGAAAGTGAAAGTGAAAGACGCTGTCATGTCTGACTCTCTGTGATCTCATGGACTATACAGTCCATGGAATTCTCCAGGCCAGAATACTGGATCTTCCCAACCCAGGGATGGAACCCAGGTCTCCCACATTGCAGGCAGATTCTTTACCAGCTGAGCCACAAGGGAAGCCAAGAATACTGGAGTGGTAGCCTATCCCTTTTCCAACGGATCTTCCTGACTCAAAAATCAAACTGGGGTCTCCTGCATTGCAGGTGGATTCTTTATCAATTGAGCTATCAGGGAAGCCCGAAGCCTTAGCAAAGATTAAATTGCTTTTCCAAGCTGTTAAGTAATGGTGCTGAGATTTGAACTAAGGTCTGCCAAAGCCTCAGCTCCTTACCACTAGTGAGTGGTTGATCATACTGACATTTGTCAGCAACACCTTAGAACAAATTAAATGACAGGCTCAAGTGCCAATGAAGAGTACTGAGCATATGTCTTTCACCTCCTACTGCTCTCACACCCCTTGTCTCCTACAAAGAAAGTCATCATTATTATTGCATAAAACAAATTCTCATTTCCTCACTTTCTGCAATGAAATAGCAAATGGTCTACACACTTCGAAAAGTTTTTCAGTCAGGAATGAAAAGAGGGAATATTAATCTATAAAGTATTAACAAACTAGAATAACCTTCCTCCCCCATTAGACTATAATGGAGGGATTATTTGTCTGTACTCTGCTGTATCTGTGATCCTATGTAGCTAAGCTCCCAATATGAGGCCTACCAGTTCCACATTCCTAGTATCATTTACCATGAAGTGAATCTCTTCTTAAGCAGGTCTTATACAGATGCAGTTTAACATCAAATCAGAGTTTTAGAATTCACTGAAAACTCCCACAGATAATTTTACATCAAAACTCTGCTATAAGATAGACATTTCTGTTTATCCAATTTACTGATAAAATAGAATCAGACAGATTAAATAACTTGCCTAAAGTCATACTTGATTCACACATAGTGCAGACAGAAAAATAATCTCAGTTGTCTGACCAAAATTCCTACCTGCCCACATATCCATTTATCTGTAAAACTGCAAGCTACTAGCTAGCAGGGTTTGTCTAAATCACCTAATACGGTACACCAAGGACACTACATTTTAATGCTTCTTGATATTACATAATAACATCAAGGCAACCCACCAGCTACTACAACCATATTTTTAATAAAAATTGTTCCACTATGGCCTTCTTTTATTTTGTGCTGATAATCAACAAGCAAAATTCCCTCACATTAGGTTCTAAAGCCTCCCACAATACAAAGTAAGTAGGATGAAAGTAGCAGCATAAAATAGCCCATTACTAGAATGCTTTAACATTGAGACTATCCAAGGCAATCAATGATTCATAAAAGCAAAAAATAAGATTTACCTTTAACTTAAGTGATTCTCCAAGTAATGTTCCCTTATAATCCGTTGTATAGGTCCAATCATACGGTTTAATAACCTCTTTAGAGTGTTCACCCTCCGTCCTCAAATACCAAAATGAGAAGGATCAGATTCAGGGAGGTAGAATATAGAACATCTGTATTCATTTTGTTGTTTAGTTGCTAAGTCGTGTCCAACTCTTTTGTGACCCCATTCATGCATCACACCAAATTACATTCTATACATAATATAAAATATCCTATTAATAAACACATATACTTGTCAAAATTCACTAACATGAGATCTTTCTTAGCTTTTCTGTACACTTATTGTTATTTAACCTGTCATGAATTAATAATGTAGTCTCCCCAATTAATCTGTACACTGCCCAAGGACATGCTTTAAAGGTTTATACTTTTTTCAAAGAACCTAATACACAATAGGAACAAAATAAATAACTCTCAATTTGATTATGAAATAAAATACATTTTTCATTTTCCTTAGTTTCAATGCTCCTTAGATTTTCAATGCAAACCATAAGCAAACATTTTTCTTCAAAACAGGAATATTAAAGTACACAGTGTAATGTGTTTTCACTAAAGAACACTGAAAGCTCAAAAAACAAAACCTTCCATAGCTCACCTCAACTGTCATTGAATTTAACTCAAGAAGTACTAAAAAGGGGGTAATTAATCTTTTATCAATGAGAAAACTGAACTCTAGAATGATTCAACTATCAAATTTAATAGTAATACTAGCCCTTAATTATAATAAAATATCACAACTGAATACTTTTTCAACTCTTTTCTATTTCAACACCTAACTGCCCAGATTCTCACCTGCTTTCCTGCCACTCTTCAGCACAGGCTACTTTAAGCATTCCTTGGTAGTTGTTCACACATCTTAATGCATCTGTAGCATTGAACTCAATTCCAAAGCCAGAGCCATGCTGGATTCTTAAAACATTGTCTCCAAACATCATTTCAGGGAGAGATGGCATATGCAATTCATCAGCTAACCTATGCATAATCAAAAGTCAGAAGGATTATTTTATATCACTGTTGGCACTCTTGTTTCCTTTTGATCTCCATAGAATACCTTTTACTCCTAAATGAGTTAAATAATATATGATTTAATAAGATGATATAGTTGTAAAGTCTATAAATGCTTTCATCATCCATTGTCTTTGTGTATACCTTTTTGGCACTGTACTAGGTAGTGGGCTAAACAATAAGATAAGTAATAAATATACAAAAAATACATAATATAATGTCAGCTAGTAATAAGTGATACATGAAAATTGAAGCAATGCAATGCAGGGGTACCATTTAAGGTAGGATGATCAAAGACAAGTCTGAGATAGTTGAATCTGAGCCTCAAAACTACCCTGTGAGCTAAGAAAGGCTCAGAGAACTTAAGTAGCTCACTGAAATGACAGAGCTAGTAAGTGGTAAAACTAGGCCTCTTTCCATTATACTAGCCCGCTTTATAAAAACTTGGACCTCAACTGGCTAGTCTTATTACATAAGAAATTATTAACTCACAGATATGTACGACTCGGAGAAGGCAATGGCAGCCCACTCCAGTGCTCTTGCCTGGAAAATCCCATGGATGGAGGAGCCTGGTGGGCTGCAGTCCATGGTGTCGCTAAGAGTGAGACACGACTGAGCGACTTCACTTTCACTTTTCACCTTCACGCATTGGAGAAGGAAATGGCAACCCACTCCAGTGTTCTTGCCTGGAGAATCCCAGGGACGGGGGAGCCTGGTGGGCTTCCGTCTATGGGGTCGCACAGGGTTGGACACGACTGATGTGACTTAGCAGCAGCAGCAGCATGTTACAACTGGCCTCACAAAATACCTTTTTAATATCTGAAATAACTGGCAAAATTATTGAGTTGCCAATAAAAATTGAGAGATTTTTGAGAGCTCTGGAATTTTGGTTTCTCTCTGGAAAACAAAAAGGAAGATCTGGCCAATACTGAACCTGTATTTCCACTCGACGCCAGCTGGCGGGAACAGAGTAGAGGGCTCTCTTCAAGTGGGGTATGAGCTTGCTGGTTCACCAATCCCCTTGACTCTTTAGAAAGCTGAGTTTGTAACCCCTGTTTTAAAGATTTTTAAGTGGCTACTAGTCACTTCTGAAAAAAGTAACTCTATGTATAGGTTTTTTGTTGCTGTTTAGTTGCTATGTCCGACTCTCTTGCCTGCCAGACTCCTCTGTCGCTGGCATTTCCCAGACAAGAATGCTGGAATGCGTTGCCATTCCCTTCTCCAGGGGATCTTTCCAACCCAGGGACTGAACCGGTGTCTCTCGCATTGGTAGGTGGGTCCTTTACCATTGAGCCACCAGGGAAGCCCCTTATGTATAGGTTACCATGCCTTACAACCCTATCACCCCAGTTACAACCAGGACTTTCAGTTTAGGGATGAAAGTTCAGCTTCTCAAACAAGGGCAATTATCTATGGGCTAGCAGGAGCCCCTGAATTTTAGCCTGAGAACTCTGCCCAATACAGTCATGCTGAATTGAATGCCAGTTAACTTTCTTCTGATCCCTCTTTTCCTAAGCTTGGATGGCAGCTGAATAAAGCATGACACAGACCATAGGGAGTGAGGGGAGAGTGAAAACTTTAAGTAACGGCCAGAGAAGCAGGCAGGGCACAGACAGACCGGAAAAGAAGGGTAAGAGGAAGGCCAGGGACATCTGCGGCTGTTCTGGTCACAAGCGCTGCTCCTTTTCTGAGCTGAATCCTGTGTTCAGCTATTTCCTCACATACTATTAAATTCTCATCACTCGAGGCAACCGAGGTTGACAGGGATGAGGAGGGGCAGAAGGCTGGGGCAGGGATTCTCTTTTCCTTGCAACCTGAAAGCACAACTAACGCAGAGGCTCCATGGAATCAATTTTCTAATTATCTTTTATATCAGCTTTCAGATTTTAATGCTTTCAGAAAATTTTCAAAAAGTATTATATACTTTGTTCACAAACAAAAACTATAAAATGTTATTTCACCTTTTCCTACTGATCAAAGATCATCACATTTAACGAACTTGTTAAGACAAGGTCCTCAAGTTCAACTGAGGGTTCATACCTCTAGCTGCTCTAGAATGTAGGTATCTGCCCCTGAAGCACCCTCATCCCTTTTTATTTTGTTTTAACCTATCAAAGGCTGGAAAAAGCAAACAATCACACTTCTTTAAACTGCATAATGAATGAAAAGAGAACAGGAAAAATAATAATAATTCATTTATTAGGGCAAAGAGACTGTAGGGATTTTTTCTCCTTCCTTACATTTCTAATACAGTTATAAAGTATGCAATACAGTCCAAATGCTTTGAATGAAGTTCTAAGTGATCCTGAACAAAGCACAGGATTTTAGTGCAAGTGGTCTATGACAGCTACTTTAGCAGATCAGGTTTTCTTTTTTCTTTTTTAAGACTTCCAGATTTTTGAAAGCTATATAGCTATACAGGCTAGGTAAGCTGAAACAATACATTATAGAATGTATTTTTACATAAAGCTAACAAAAGATCTATGCATATCCCCAGACCACAATTATCCTCTTCCCAGTTGCTTTAAATCTATTCCCAACTAGACATATCAGTCAAGTCTTGTAAAAACCATGCCTAAACAAATTATTTAAGCTTTAAATGTAAAATATATTGATAGTAGAAACATCTACTTCATTCCTGGATCATCAAAGCCTCACCACTTTTAAAAATGAAGATGGGTTCTAATTTTACCATGACTGCCCAGAAGAGAAGTTAATGTACCACAGCCCCATGTTTCCATAACCTTCCTATCTCTGGTGAATTTTCTGTTCTCACATAACAATTATATTAATTTTGGCTATGAAGCAAAGAAAAAACACTAAAAAATTAAAGCTGCTGTTTCTTACAGGAAAACGCCTTTGCCAGTAAAACGCTCAAGTTGTTGCAAGCTTTAAACGGTGATATGAAAAAAGCAAATACACCGCTGTGGGAAGCGCTGTGCTCGCTTGGACTTTCAGGAGAACTTCGTCAATTCACATCCCACCCTGGGGCAAAAACTAAGAAAAAAGCACCAAGAACTTAATCACATTTATATTCTTTGACTCAAAATGTCAGCTTTGGGAAAGCTGTAACAAAGAAATAATCCCCAATGCAGGGAAGAAAAAAACTACATACATTAATACTCATAATCATCTCATTTATAGTGGTAAAGAAGAAATACTCTGATGATAACGAAATAAATCGTTATGTAAACTGTTGTCTGGGCTTCCCAGGTGGTACAGTGGTAAAGAATCCACCTGCCAATGCAGGAGATGTAAGAGACATGGGTCCAATCCCTGGGTCAGGAAGATTCCCCTGGGGTAGAAATAGCAACCCACTCCAATATTCTTGCCTGGAAAATTCCTTGAACAGAGAAGCCTGGCAGGCTACAGTCCAGGGAGTCACAAGACAGACATGACTGAGCAACTGAGCACACAAACTATTGTCTATCCAGATGATAAAACATTACGGAATCATTAAAAACATTTAAAAGGAGAATATAATAATGTTGAAAATGCTTATGAAACAACAGTAATGAAAAAAAATCAAGCACACTGTATGTTCATCAGATCTCTGTGTTTATGTATATAAGCACATATCAGTGATCTAACATTTTAAGTTGCACAACTTTAGGGTGATATCTGATACCATTAATTTTCATCATAAATTTAAGTAAAATTTATTCTTTTGTTATTAGGAAATAGAAAATAACAAATACGAGAGAGATCAATACTCCCGTTCAAATGCCACAGACAAAACAAGACGGACAGCAAAAAATATCATTTTAAAAAAGAGAGAAAAGAAAAGAAAATGTGGTTTATATATACAATGGAGTATGATGCAGCCTTTTAAAAGCAGGAAATTCTGCAATATGTGATGGCATGTATGAACCCTAAGAACATTATGCTGAGTAAAACAAACCAGGCATAGAAAGACAGACACTACATGATTCCACTTATTCATAGAATCAAAGAGTGAAATGGTAGTTGCCAAGGGCTAGAGGAAGGGAAAAACGGGTTGTTAATCAATAGGTGTAAAATTTCAGGCAAGCAAGATGAATAAGTTCCAGAGATCTGCTATACAACACTGTCCCGATAGCCAATAATAATGCATTCTACATTTATGAATTTGTCAGAAGGGTAGAATTCATATTAAGTGTTCTTACCACAATAAAACAAAATTTTTTAAAAAAGAAAATACTAGATACTTAAAAGATTAAATTGGATGGATTATAATCAGAATAAACATTTCACTAAAAGATTAGATATAAATAAGCTGCAACCACTGGAAAGTGCATATGAAATATAAACTAATATAAGATGTGATTCTGTGGATTTTCCCAACATATCTGAAAAAATCTAGTAGTCCCCTGAAATACTCCAGTTAAATATATGTCAAAAAGAATACCTGTCAATAACTTACATTTCTTCAAACGTCCTAAATTCAGAGTATCTTGAACAAAGGCCAAACAGAATATCTTAACCCCATTTTTAATGGCAAATTTTACTCTTTGTAACAAACAGGTATGCCTATTTATAAGGTCAAAGAAAAGTCAGCAGTGGCCACGGGTCTGGAAAAGGTCAGTTTTCATTCCAAGCCCAAAGAAGGGCTCAAACTACCATACAACTGCACTCATTTCACATGCTAGCAAAGTAATGCTCAAAATTCTCCCAGCCAGGCTTCAACAGTACATGAACCAAGAACTTCCAGATGTATAAGCTGGATTTAGAAAAGACAGAGGAATCAGAGATCAAATTGCCAACATCCACTGGCTCATAGAAAAAGCAAGGGAATTTCAGAAAAACATCTGCTTCATTGACTATGCTAAAGCCTTTAACGGGTGTGGATCACAACAAACTGGAAAACTCTTGAAGAGTTGGGAATACCAGACCACCTTACCTGACCCTATGTAGGTCAAGAAGCAACAGTTAGAAGCCAACATGGAACAACCGACTGGTTCAAAATCGG